GATAATAATAAAAATATAAACAACAACAATGATACTAATTACTATTATTATCATTATTATGATGATGATTGCTATTATTGTAATTTCCATTACTGTTATTATCATTGTCATTATTATATCATTATTGTTATTGCTGTTATTATTAACATTATTATTATTGTTATCATTATCATTGTTATCACTGTTATCATTATTATCATTATCATTATTATAATCATCTTTATTATTACTTAATCATTATCGCCCTTCTTATTATCATTATTATCTTCATTATTGTTATTATCATTATCATCATCATTATCACTATCATTACCGTTATAATTTTCATTATCATTATTATTATTATTATTATTATTATTATTAATTTTATTATTATTATTATTATTATTATTATTATTATTACCATTGTTATTATTATTATTATTATCATTATTATCATTATTGTTCTTATTATTATTGTGATAATGATAAGTATAAAACTGCTGATGATAATGACAATGGTGATAATAATCATAACTGTAATAATAATAACAATAATAATGATAATAATAATAACAATGAAAATGGTGATAATGATGATAATGATAGTGACAACAACAACAATGATAATGATGACAATAGTGATAATGGTAATAACCATATTAATAATGGTAATAGTAATAGTAACTATAATAATAATAATAATAATGATAATGATAATGATGCTAATCGTAACAACAATGATAATAATAATGGCATTAGTAATGAAATGATATAATAATGATAATAATAATAATAATGATAATAATAATAATAACCATAACGATAATAATAGTGATAATTATGATAATAATGATAACAGTAAGGAAAATGATGATAATGATAATAGTAATATTGGTAGTAATAATAATAATACTGATAACAATAATGATTTTTAAATAGTGATAGCAATGATGATTATAATTAAGAAAAAAAGAAAAATAACACAAAAAATGATTTTGGTAATATTGTCATTCGATAATAATGGTGATAATCAGTACTAACAATGGCAATTCTAATAATGATCGTAATAATGATGGTAATAAAAACTATAGTGATAATGGTAATAATGATAATAATAATGGGGATGAATTAATTGCAATAGTGTTTAAAGTGACAATAATAGTAACAATGCTAATACTGTTAGAGCAAAATTGAAATTAATTGTAATGATAATTACGATAATAACAATCACACACACACACACACACTCACACACACACACACACACACACACACACACACACACACACACACACATATATATATATATATATATATATATATATATATATATATATATATATATATATGTATGTATGTATATATATATGCATATATATATATATATATATATATATATATATATATATATATATATATATATATATATATATATATAGCAAAACTTATCATAGGTATAGAGATAATGTTCATTCACGAAATTTTCGTGGCTACTGAAGGTAATACAAATGATAATGGTAGTATAATGATCGTGATATCAAGACCGGTATCGGTACGAACATCAAGATCATTCATTTAATTGTATTGAAATTGATAACTGCTATTCCTTTGTTCTTCCGAGATTATAATGCTAAAACAATGGAAACATTGCATATCATTAAATCCATACGAGTATTCTAACCAAAGAAATTTCTTCGAATACGTCAAAAGGTCCTGCGATCGATTATGCATGAATGCGCATAGTTCCATTCACGCAAAGTCTCCACATTTACAACTGAATGCTTTCACGTAATGCAAGACTGTCGACCTGGTTTACAAAACGACAATTAGCATAGATTTCTTCACTGCGCAATTACTATGCTTTGTACAGTAACCCCAAGCCAACATGTCTCCATGTCATTGCATGTTTTGTTTTGCAGAAAGTCATACATTATGCACACTGTTGAGTGGCGTCGATGACCGTGATTCTAACGCCGACTTGGTAGCTCTGCGGAAGATGTGCAGTGCACGTAATATATTTTTGTGCATTTAACTAACATCAGTATATTTATCAATGTATTCTTACACAGCCGTACTCGCTTGCATTTGTTAGCCAACTGTAAATATAAAGCAAAAGTATCCTCGGCTACAAAAAAGGATGTTAAACGTCATCTTTCCCCTCAGTTGTACGCATCTATGACTGATTTGAAGCTTACACATTTTTACTTTTATATCTGGTATGTATATTGTGCCAAAAAAATAAATCCAGCTTCAGGATAAATTATTACACATGCGACGGGTGTGTTGAGCCGGATTGATTTATACGCGAACGAGACTCTTACAGGAGTGAGCAAGGCACAAGAACTTGCGATTCAGAAACTCCATTCTTCCAATCTTTATTCCAACATATATTGCAATTAAAAAAAAATAAATAAGATAAAAAATCAGAAATAACCTAAAATACCAGATGGGCATTAGTCATTTCTTAATACAATTTTCACTTTTAAAATGGTATTGCGGCGGCCTGAATCGCGAGCAG